ATGAGGGAAGTTTTCAGCCATTATTTCTTCCAATAAGTCTTATGCCCCTTTCTCTCTCTTCTCTTTCTGGGAGCCCTACAGTGTGAATATTGGTCCACTTTATGTTGTCCCATAAGTCACCTTCACTCCGTTTCATTCTTTTCTTTTTGCTGCTCTGATTGGATGAGTTTCAGTGCCCTGGCTTTGAGTTTACTGATCTCTCTTCTGCTTCATCTTGTCTGTTGTTGAACCCCTCGTGTACTTTTCAGTTCGGTTATCATATTCTTCAGCTCTGTGACTTCTGTTTGGTACTTGCTTGTAAAGTTGGCCATTGAACAACACAGGTGTGAACTGCATGGGTCCACTTGGAGGCAGATTGTTCGTTTTTCAATAAATACATACAGCAGTACTATACAGTCTGCAGTTGGTGGAATCTGTGGATGCAGAAGCCCAGATATGGAGGGCCAACTGTAAAGTTATACACAGATTTTTGACTGCACAGAGGTTTGGCGCCCCTAACCCCCGTGTTGTTCAAGGGTTAATTGTGTTTTCTCTTTGAAGTTCTCACTGTTTTCATTCATTCTTCTCCCAAGTTCAGTGAGCATCTTTATGACCATTATTGTTAATTCTATCCATCAGCTAAGCCATTCATCTTTGTTTCATGAAAGGCTTTTTTCCTGAGGTTTTATCTTGTTCTTTCATTTGGAACATATTCCTCTCTCATTTGGAACATATTCCTCTCTCTATTTTTCTTGACTCTCTCATTTGATAAAACAGCCATCTCTCCCAGTCTTGAAGGAGCGGCCTCACGTAGGAGACAAAAACTTTATCCTTCCACCTACACCCTGACTCTTCCTTGTCTCTCACACCTTTGTGATTGTCCAAGCAGCCTACATGTAGTGGCTCCCAATAGTGGAGGGTGTGCCAAGACCTGTCAGTCAGTGTCTTAGAAGGGAGGATCTCAACTCCTAGATTCAGGCTGATTGGAAGCCAGACCCTCAGGCAGCAGCTTTTTAAAGTTTGCAAATATACAGTCCAGTGGGACCACAGGCCTAAGTCCCACTGACCACCAGAACCAGGCAATCTGAAGGTATCCCCTGGACAGCACTCGCAAAAACCAGGGCACCGGGCGTGTGTAAAAGCTCCCCTCCAAGAGACACTAGTGCTCTGGAGTGTGGCAGAGGGAGAGTGCAAAGATAGCATCCCCCCTCTGCCTGCCAAGTTCTCTGGAAGGGATGACGGTCAGCCCTTAGATATGGGTTAACTTAGATGCCCGTCCCTAGGCCGATGCTTTAAGATAAGCAAATAAGCCTCTTTTATGTGAAGTCTGGGTGCCTCTCCATCAGCTGACTTTGAGCTGGGTCCTGGGGCAGGTGAGTCTGAGCATGAGACTTTTACGAGCCATTTCTGAACTGGCTGTAGCCCTGTGGGTCTTGTGGACACAAGCTCTGGTTTTCAAAGCTAGGTGTTTTGGGGGCATCCCTCAGGCGCTAGTCTTTAAAAGTTGGGGTGCCTGATGTGGGGTTCAAACCTTCACCCCTCCTAGAGAAGCTTCAGGTTTTCAGTTTCTTTCCAGTTGTGGGTCACTGCACCAAGGATGGCATTTATCATGAGATTATGTATCAGCCTCTCTGCCTTTCTTAGTTGCCTCAGTGTGGGTTTTTCCACATTTGTCCAATGTGTAGGTGTCACTGAGCTAGTTTTTAGGTCTTTTTCAGAGGAGGTTGTTCCATACATACCTCAGATTCGGTGTGTCCGTGGGAAGAGGTAAGTTCAGGGTCTTCTTATGTCACCTTCTTAAATCAGAACCTCATCTTCTTCCACTTTGAAGGACTCGTGTGATGAGATTGGGCCTAGCCTACCTGGTTAATCTAGGGTAATCTCCCCATCTCAAGGTCAGTGGAATCCCTTTTGCCGTGCAAAGTAACATATTCGCAAGTTCTGGGAATTAGGACATGGACGTCTCTGGGCGCCATCACTATTCTGCCTGCCACCCTGGTTAACTGGAACTTGTCATAGGTCTGTGTAGTGGTGTCATAGAGCCTTAGGATGCTGTTTAAAGGGCCCATCTGATGGTCCAGTTTATTAGCCTAGCTGCCCATGGCAGCCTTTCAGGTGGGTTTTTTCGAGGGGCATATCCACTGACTCACAAAGCCTGATAGCTTTTGAGTGTCCCACACTCCAGTGAGTATTTAGATTATGTTCTCGAGGATGTATTTTCTTACCTTCACTGACAGTCTTCTGCCCTTTCACACCTCCCATGGATTTCCTGTACTCCCATGTCAGGAAGAGCCACACCTGTGTAGATAAAGATAGTTCACTTTTTATTTCCAAATTACTTTTTACATTTTTAAAGGTTTTCACAGCTTCGTGCATTTCCATTGATCGGTAGACTTTTGCATCCCCAGTCTTTTCGTCAAGTCCCCACCTTATAGCTTATGAAGCAGTAGACATTTGGGTGTGATATACGGAAGCCTGGGCTAGGAATACTGTTGTGAGCACTAGGATTTGCCAGCCTTTTGCAAGCCCTGTTTGGGATGGGGGAAGGGCATTTGCTGCCCCTGCACTTCAGTTCAGAACATCTCTGCTCTCATCTTTTTTGTTAGCCTGTACTTCCATGGAAGACTTCACTTCTGGAAACGTTTTATGGGTCCTTCCCCTTCACAAAAGAAGTCTGGAAATTTCTCATCTCTAAGATTCTTTCTGGAGTTGATTCTCTCCATGACAACATCTATTTCTAGGTTCCTTGAGACCCACCAAACAGAATATTCTAACAAAACTGGTTTGAATGAGAGACTTGCATTGTCAGTCACTTCATCATCCATCCCTAAAAATGCTGCTCTGTGGACACCTGTCCCAGAACAATGCCAGGGAACAGATTTTCTGTGAACCTTGGAATGTGCACCTCTAACTATGGTACAACACTTGGACTCCTTTCTTCCATGTGTTTTTATTTCTATCCTCAGAATAGCCCTGTGAGAGTGGAAGTGGGTGCCATCTTTCTGTATGTGTATATACTTGAATTCTTTATATCTCTCTATACAGAAATTTGTGGAATTTTATGTCATCTATCAATAGAGAGAGAATCATACACACACTTTATGTCATCTATCAATAGAGAGAGAATCATACACACACAGGGATGCATATATTTTCAAATATTGAGGTATACTTCTTTTTCTGGAAATAATCACCAGAAAGAGACCAGTAGGGTGAGAGACTAGAGATGGGGAAAGAAACCTTTCAAATTCATTTGTTGTGTTTTTACTTTCCATTTTGTACCTTTCTGTACTGTTAAAAATATTCACCTGTGAATTTTCTTTTTAAGTCAACTGAAGTTATTTACACAGTAAAAATCATTGGCTTTTTTTTTTTTAAACCTTTTACACTTATGTATACTTTTTAATGTCAAAGTTCTGTTTTAAAAAATGCCCATTCCTCTGTTGATGGACATTTACGTTGCTTCTGTGACCTGGCTATTGTAAATAGTGCTGCAGTGAACATTGGGGTGCATGTGTCTTTTGAAATTATGGTTTTCTCTGGGTATATGCCCAGCAGTGGGACTGCTGGGTCATATGGTAGTTCTATTTTTAGTTTCTGAAGGAACCTCCATACTGTTCTCCATAGTGGCTGTATCAATTTACATTCCCACCAACAGTGCAAGAGGGTTCCCTTTTCTCCACACGCTCTCCAGCATTTATTGGTTGTAGATTTTTTCAATGATGGCCATTCAATGGAATATTACTCAGCCATAGAAAGGAATGAAACTGAGTCATTTGCAGAGATGTGGATGGACCCAGAGTCTGTCATACAGAGTGAAGTAAGTCAGAAAGAGAAAAACAAATATCGTATATTAACACATATATATGGAATCTAGAAAAATGGTATAGATGATCTTTTTGCAAAACAGGAATAGAGACACAGACGTAGAGAACAAACGTATGGACACCAAGGGGAGGAAGGGGGGGCTGGGATGACCTGGGGGATTGGGATCGATATATATACACTATTGATACTATGTATAAAGTATATAACTAAAGAGAACCTACTGTATAGCTCAGGGAACTCTACTCTGTGCTCTGTGGTGACCTAAATGGGAAGGAAATCCAAAAAAGAGGGGATGTATGTATACGTATAGCTGATTCACCTTGCTGTACAGTAGAAACTAACAACACTCTAAAGCAACCGTACTCCAATAAAAATTCATTATAAGAAAATATTTTTGTAATGAAAAATTTAAAATGCCCACACCTCTCCACACGGTAGGTAAGGCCACCCTCGCTGTCCTGGTTAGGAAGATCCCTGTTCATCCATTAGACCTGGAAAGGACCCAGCCCAGCTTCCCTCTGGGACCTCATTCCTTCTTGTTGCCCATTTAGGGTGACTGTGTAACTTATCATGCAAACTTAGACATGTTTGCAAGTGAAAGGGGTGCTAACTCTAACTAGATAGGACAATGGAGAACAGGCTTGAATCAGTCCGAGAATGTTCAGGGCACTCGGGGTTGTTGGGTTTGTCATCTGCAGGTAGGCGATCATTTTCCTACCCGTAAAAAGATTACCATATGCTAACACAACATATATATGGAATTAAAAAAAAAATGTCATGAAGAACCTAGGGGTAAGACAGGAATAAAGACACAGACCTACTAGAGAACGGACTTGAGGATATGGGGAGGGGGAAGGGTGAGCTGGGACAAAGCAAGAGAGAGGCATGGACATATATACACTACCAAACGTAAAATAGCTAGGTAGTGGGAAGCAGCAGCATAGCTACAGGGAGATCAACCCGGTGTTTTGTGGCCACCTAGAGGGGTGGGATAGGGAGGGTGGGAGGGAGGGAGACACAAGAGGGAAGAGATACGGGAACATATGTATATGTATAACTGATTCACTTTGTTATAAAGCAGAAACTAACACACCATTGTAAAGCAATTATACTCCAATAAACATGTAAAAAAAAAAACAAAAGATTTTCCTGTGATTGATTCCTCATTGCTGTGTGTTTTGGTTTTGTTGTAGCAAAATCTGTTAAGGTGAAAATCAAGCTCAATAAAAAAGATGACAAAGGCCGGGACAAAGGAAAAGGCAAGAAAAGGCCAAATCGAGGAAAAGCCAAACCTGTGGTGAGCGATTTTGACAGCGATGAAGAGCCGGATGGAAATGTAAGTGCGGCTGCCTTGCCTGAGGTCGGGACACTCTCCCCACATCTGTCTCCCTCTCGTACTCCCAGGCCCCTGCCAACCTCTATGCTTCATTACCCAGAAATGAAAATGTAAAGATTTGGTGTTGAGGGATGTGAACTGAGCTGCGTGATTTGAAAACAAAGAATTTGGGGTTTTGTTTATTGCCTTTTGAATAGTCTTCAAAAGTGAAAAACTTAATAAATCAAGTTTCCTTTTCCCCTTTCATATCTTCCCAGTGCCTACTTACAGATAGAGATTTCTCCACGGCTCGTTAATATTTTATATCCATAACACCCAGCATAGTGCCTAGGATACAGCAGTATATAGAGGAAATAATGATTCCATGGAAGACTGACACTAAGTGGGATGATAGAGTTACTTTGGGGTTTGAGTTGCTATTTCAGGTGCCGTGCGGAAAACCCAGATGCATCTTTAAGTACTTAGAGGTGTTATTTTTAATATTTGAAAAATTCAGGGAGCCCTGATGGAGCCAGGCCCTGACATAAGGACCTTTCCAGGTGGCACCGTATTCAGTGCTTATTAATATTAGCATCCTAAGACAGATGTCACTCTCAACGTATTACAGAAATCAGTGCTTAGGTTATGTGTGTTTTGCCGCAGGGCATGGAAGTAAATAGCAGAGGCTGAATTCAGACCCACAGAGCATTAACTCAGTCTGGTGCACTGTCCCTGACTCTGTGGTCCACAAGGTAGCGGTGCCTGGCACAAGCTTCTAATATAGTGCCTTTTAAAGGGCCCTCTATTTCTTTCACTTTCAAGAGGACCTCAGGGTCCCTACCCCACACCCCCCTTCTTTTTTCTTTCTGGAAGGTTAATTTTCCATGTTAGCGCCTATGCTAGTTTGATTTTCCTTCAACGTGCTGCTCTCTGGGTCTGTTGAAAAGGTTCAGCATTCTTATCCCACCCCACCCAGCCTTTAACCCTCGACACAAGCATCTTCAAATACATTTAAAATCCTAGGTTTTCTTTAAGTAGACAGCAAATGCATGGAATTGTGGATTTTCTAAAAACGCAGTGCTAAAATTAGAACTCAATAGCCATGAACTTTCCACGCCCAAGTGCAATAGAGCAAAACACTGGCACAGACAGCGGGCATTGCTTTGGGATTTCCAAGCGGGAGCTCCCCTGTTCCGCATAGAGGCTGTCGATGCCTCTTTACTGGGAGGGTTAACTGTTTCCAAAATGTCATTTCTTGTCTACATTGCCTCTTGATGGCTTATTGTCTTTCTTATTTTTACTTTTAGGAACAGTCAGAAGCTAGTGGGACTGATGACGAGTGATCAGTATGGACATTTTTTTTCTTGGTAGAACTGAACTCCTTCTCCCCTCTCCCGTCTCCACTCAGTGAGTTCATTTGTCATATGGGCACTGGGTTGTTTCTATATCATTATCATCTATAAGCTAGCTTTAGGATAGTGCCAGACAAACATATGATATCATGGTGTAAAGAAACACACGCATACACAAATCTTTGTAACATATTGTGACCAAATGGGCCTCAAAGATTAAAACAAACAAAAAAGCTTTTGATGGAAAATAATGTGGGTGGATAGTATATTTCTATGGGTGGGTCTTGGTAACGGTTTGACTGTGCCTGGTTTTATCACCTGTTCAGATGAGAAGATTTTTGTCTTTTTGTAGCACTGATAACCAGGAGAAGCCATTAAAAGCCACTGGTTATTTTATTTTTCATCAGGCAATTTTCAAGGTTTTTATTTGTTCGGTATTTTTTTTTTTTTTACACTGTGGTACATATGAGCAACTTTAATAGGCGATAAATGTTAGACTTCACCTACATAGACATTTTTCCATTTTATGCTCTATGATCTGAAAAACACGCTTTTTGAATTGTATAAGATTTATGTCTACTGTAAACATTGCTTAATTTTTTGCTCTTGATTTAAAAGAGAAGTTTTGCTGAAATCGCTATTGAATATTGCAATCTATATAGTGTAATGGATGGCTTCCTTTGTCAACCTGATCTCCTGTGTTACCCATGTGTATTGTCTCCTTCTCCCTCAAGTGTACTTAATCTTTGCTTTCTTTGCACAATGTCTTTGGTTGCAAGTCATAAGCCTGAGGCAAATAAAATTCCAGTAATTTCCAAGAACGTGGTGTTGGTGCTTTCCTAATAAAGAGATAACAGCTGAGCTCAACAAGCACTGCCTCTGGTTTTCGAGTTCTAAGGGACCGAAACCCTGGTGCCTGAGTCACCGTCTCCTGCAGAGAGCGGGGCAAGCTCTTGCCGCAGCGCACGTGGTGGTAGGAAAAAAAGTTAAGAAGACTGAGAGAGAGAGAATCCCCTGGGCTGAACCAGGTGTGTCGCAAGGGAGAGGAGTCTGTTGCTTTTGGGACTTTGAAACTTATACAACAGGAGAGATGCTGCCATGGACCGAGTCACACTAAGGCCCTGCTCAGCCTTTTCTAGTGGCTTAAATTCTATTTACTTGCCAGAAAAATCTACAGGTGTACCTCAGAGATATTGCAGGGTCAGTTCTAGCCCAGCAAAGTGAATGTCACAACGGAGTGAGTCACACGAGTCTTTTGGCTTCTCGGTGCATGTCAAGTTGTTAGGTTTGCACTCTACTGTAGTCTGTTAAGTGTGTGCATTATGTCCGAAAAAACAATGTACATACCTTCACTAAAATCTACCTCATCACTGAAAATGCGGACCATCGTCTGTGAGTCATGGTAGTAGTATCAAAGATCACAGATCACCAAAACAAATATTATCACAATCACCCAAAACATGATACAGAAGCATGAAGTGAGCCACTGCTATCGGAAAATGGCACCAATATACTGGCTGGAGTCAGGGTTGCCACAGACCCTCAATTTGTGAAAAATACAGTCAGTACAAAGTAGCACAGTAAAGCAAAGCGCCGTATGATGAGGTATGCCTATGTATGGTAATACAGATTTATACTGTTTGTTTTGCATGGAATAAATCTATGTTCATATCGATTTAGAAAGATCTGAAAAGTGCTCAGTTGAAAGACTGGTTCCGTAAATACCCATATACCCTCCTACTAAGGTTCACAATGACTATAATCTCCCTACCTCCCACGCCACCCACTTCTTTTTTTTTACATCTTTATTGGAGTATGATTGGTTTACAGTGGTGTGTCAGTTTCTGCTTTATAACCAAGTGAATCAGTTATCCATATCCATATGTCCCCATATCTCTTCCCTCTTGCATCTCCCTCCCTCCCACCCTCCCTATCCCACCCCTCCAGGTGGTCACAAAGCACCGCGGCTTGTTTCTTAACTAAACCATCTGAAAGTAAGTCCCGACCATCCTAAACGCTTTACCCCTAGATACTTCACAAATCTCCTAAGAACAAAGGCGTCTCCTGGCTAACCACAGTCCTTCTTCCATAGCAAAGGGAATTAACAATGGTTCCCTAGTATCTCATATACGATCCATAGTCACATTTCCTCAGTCGTCCCCAAACTGTCTTGCATTTGTTTTTAAAAGTTTACAAAGAAGCCTAGCCAAAGCTTGGCACATTCCTTCTTATGGACCCAATGATGACAAGGACCAAAATGCAAGAGTATTCGCTCATCTCTAATGGATCGGTGAAAACTTCATTTCTTAGAATTGTCTAAGGACAACTCTGGGGTTCTTACTTTCATAATAAGAGGAATTGCCAATGTATCTTTCTTTGAGTCTTGAAGGAAGTTTGACCCATACAAATTTTTGTGTGCAGTCCTCCCGAGAAACTTTTGTCCTAAGTGTCCATTCAGGTCTGAGTTTCCAGTTAGTCTGAGCACTACAGAATGTGTTGCATTTCCCTTCTTGTTTTGTTTACAGTTTGCTGACCACAGTAGGATTCTAGACTCCCATGAAGAATAAATCACATTAGTTTTTCTTAGTGAGATGACCTGCTATCAGTTCAAAGAAACAGTCTTATTTCACTGCTTCCGTTTTTGTATTTCCTATACTTTATGTACTCCTTGGAATCTCTTCTCAGCCTTAGAGGTATTGCTGTTCCAAGGCCATCCAAACCATTGTCCTTACGGTGTAGGATGTCCATTGTGTGAAGGATGTTTTCTAATTTCTCTTCTGCTGTCTTTGGTATGTTGTTCTCCCAGGCCTTAGTAGAAAGGCAAGGCAGGAAGGTGGCTTGCACAACAGTGGTGAGCTGGCAGGGAGCGTGATCAGGTGTGAGCAAGTGGCAGGCCATCCTGCGTCTGCACATCTGCCTATTTTTAACCTGGTCCTGGCAGCTGCCTTGTCCATTTCCAGTAGGTGAGCCCACTGGTAGGCTTAGGTCTTTCCAAGAGCAACAGTTTTCTAGGAACGGAGGAAGGAAGCTACGAGTATCAGGCGATGTACTTGATCCTTTACTAGAATTATTTAATTACAAGAAACCTGGGGAGAAGGCATAGTTCTTATTCCCTCTTTACAAATAAGGATGATGCAAACGGGAGACTGAATAGCTGTGGCCAGTGTACCAAAGCAGAATCTGAAAGTAAGATTTCTTTGCCTCTAAAACCCATATTCTGGGGCTTCCCTGGTGGCGCAGTGGTTAAAAATCCACCTGCCAGTGCTGGGGACAGGGGTTCGAGCCCTGGTCCGGGAAGGTCCCACATGCCACGGAGCAGCTAAGTCCGTGAGCCACAACTACGGAGCCTGTGCTCTAGAGCCCGCTCGCCTAGAGCCCGTGCCCTGCAACAAGAGAAGCCACCGCAATGAGAAGCCCACACACCTCAACGAAGAGCAGCCCCCGCTCGCCACAACTAGAGAAAAAAGCCCACGTGCAGCAACGAAGACCCAACACAGCCATAACTAAATACATACATACATACAAAAAACCCATATTCCATGCAGCCTCCCTACCTCCCCAGCGAGTGAGGCCTGGAACTGATCTTATCGATAAGTCCCAGGCACCCATTTGCTTGGCACTTGCTGACCCAGCCAGGCTTACAAATGAGTCTTGGCTTAGGTCTCTGGTTGCTGTGGCTGAGAATGGCACTTTTAAGACCCAGTTTTCTTGGCTGGGCTCCTCCGCTACCCTGGCTCTTTCTTCTTAGTGACAAGCCACTCCACAAAGACCAAGACCTTGTCTTTCTATTCAGCTGCCATTGGACCCTCAAGGCTACTCAGATCCAGCTGACTTGGATAGCACTAATGCCCTCCAGGTGATTCTGATGTGTGATCAAATTGAAGGAGCCCTGCTAAATCCATGAGACTCTTAATCCCCATTATTTCACTCCTGGGGAACAGTATGAGGCCACGCTGATCCTCATCTTGATCTAGATCACTGGTACAGGCATATACATCCATCACACAGTTGTCACTCTAGTGAAACCACCATAAACGGGAATAACTGAAAAGGATGAATATTTTTTCTCTCTGACACAGCTTTTCTGTCATATATGTTACCAGGAAGGAAGCTTCAATTGTGCTTAACTTGAACTTCATTCACACTGATTAAGTATATAATACTTGGGAGAAATATTTTTGGTCTCCTTAGCAGAAGGGTAGAGACATATTCTCTCCTTATGAATAAACGTAGTTCCCGTGAGAATTTTATAGTAACAGTCAATCTCACTATACAGCTATCTTGGAGGAATGGCCAAGTATATTCCTCTTCTTAAAATTTACTAAATAAGAGCTGTGTCAAACCAGATAAAGCAAATTTTTTGTCCTTATTCATTTATACTGTCATACGAATCTCAGGGTTTCAATCTCTGTTGTATTTAGGGAGAGGTCATCAAAAATGATGAGGTGTGGGCTTCCCTGGTGGCGCAGTGGTTGAGAATCTGCCTGCTAATGCAGGGGACACGGGTTCGAGCCCTGGTCTGGGAGGATCCCACGTGCCGCAGAGCAACTGGGCCCGTGAGCCACAACTACGGAGCCTGCGTGTCTGGAGCCTGTGCTCTGCAACAAGAGAGGCCGCGATAGCGAGAGGCCCGCGCACCGCGATGAAGAGTGGCCCCCGCTTGCCACAAGTACAGAAAGCCCTTGCACAGAAACGAAGACGCAACACAGCAAAAATAAATAAATTAGTTAATAAACTCCTACCCCCAACATCTTCTTTAAAAAAAAAAAAAAAATGATGAGGTGTAGGGTGAGAAACAATGACCCATAGGTGTAGAATTGCTAGATCTATGTCCAGGTGAGCTGTATTCATTGGTGTGGTTTAGGACATTGAGCTTCATAGGGGGTGGAAGTGACATGTTCCAAATGACTAAGCCCTTTATGCAAAAGGTATCTGTATTCTGCATCATTTTCAGTAAGGATTTTCCAAAGGGATTTTCCAAGTTGAATAAAGCAAGACAACAAAGTCAAGACTAAGGGAAAACCACTTTCCTGTTTATAAACACTGGTTTCTTTTTTAACATATAAACTAGAAAGAGGTCTCTTGGTCTTTTTAGTTTTAATTTATTTTATTGAAGTATAGTTGATTTACAATGTTGTGTTAGTTTCTACTGTACAGTAATATATATGTAATATATATTATATATATATTATATAATATATATATATACACACAGAGGCCTCTTTGTGAACCCAAGGACTGTTATGAAGCAAGGCTCACTGTGGGATTATAAACCTCAAAAAGAATGGAGGTTCATAGTGCCCCCAGCATATATATGCATTTTTTAATTCTCTTGTAAAAACTTTAATTAAATTCCTCTTCCAAGATTATAAAATAGACATGTATTCACCACCACCAGTGAAATAATGCAAAAAAAATTAATTTAGAATTCACCCCTACCAGGCAATCGGCTTTCAAAGACTGGTGTGGTTACTTCTTCCTGTTTCTTCCTGTTCACACAGAATGATATACACTGTCAAATGTCATTTCCCCAGCTATCCCCAGTGTAACCTGGTAATAAGATGAAGCTGAATTTATTGCTTACTGTGGTAAGGGAGACCACCACCTTGATGGAGCTTTGGTAGTTTATTTGAGAGGGAAAGTCAAGGTTGGATTTTATTGAAATTAGATTTAAAGTGTCTTTCAGTGTGGGAATTTGGTTAGGACAGGGTAGCGATCATGGTATAATAGTTTAGGATTGGTGGAAGGAGTAAGGAAAGGATTTTGAGGGGGAAATCAAAGAGTCTTAGGGCACAACTATCAATTGTGTTGCTTTCCA